TGGACGTATTGCCGATGGAATATTTGGATAGTGCACAGATAACTTTTTCTTCTTATTTAGCCCTTTTACAATTGGAGGCACCATACAAAAGTAACAATTACTAACATGATCTGTTGGCTCTCTCCAAATCATTGGCACAGCGAAAGGCATAGATGCCTTTTTTTCCATTCAACCATTGCTCCAGTGCCGTCCCACAAGAATTGCAGCATATATGTGGTGCCCAGCTCTTGTCCTGGTCTCCTATCTTGCAGCCAAAATACAAGTTGTAGGCTTTCTTAATCATTCCTGTTATCCTCCTTTTTTGTGAGATAAAAGTTATTTCACCGCAGATATAGCAGAAATTATCTGCTTTATTCACACAAGTTCGAGGCATTACTGAGTAGCCTATATAAGCATAAAACGAAATGTAAAGACGCTGTCGAACTACAATCAGCTACAGATACTGCAGCTTTTATGCAGTGAAGTGATGCAATTAAAGGCTAATATTGCATCATCTCAGTATACATGCAATTTTCTATTGGTCACCAGTATCAATTGCGCAATATGCAGCTGAAGTTGCATCATAATTTTGAATGGCTTACGTCATTAGATGGGTGAATATATCATGGAAACTAGAGCCAATCAACATTTTTTAGGGTCATTTTCGTTTTCAGCACCCCAAAATTATGTAAGATTAGCTAATTTTATGCCCAAAACTTTTTACGTGTTGAACAGTGTAATGGACATCCAGGCTTCAGGGTTGGCCTGTAAGTATTCAGTCTGACAATGCCACAGAGCTGGCATACATCAACCACCAAGGTGGTACCAAGAGTTGAGGTGCTCAGAAGGAGGTGAATTACACTCTGACCTAGGCAGAGAAATATGTTCCAAGTTTGTCATTGGTGTTCATTCTAGGGGTGGAAAACTGGCAGGCGGATTATCTCAGTCACCAGCGGTTGATTCCAGGGGAATGGGCTTTGCATCCCAAGGTTTTCAAGGGAATCTGCCAGCGATGTGGTTGCCTGGGCATAAATCTATTGGCATCCAGGTTCAACAACAAGGTCAGTCTTTTTGTGTCCATGGCAAGGGACCCTCACGCGGCAGGGGTAGATGCCTTAGTAATTCCTTGGAACCCGTTTTCACTGATTTATGCCTTTCCTCTGAATCAGCTGCTGACGCGCCTCTATTCCAGTGATACTGATTGCTCCGGCCTGGCCCAGTGAAGATGGCAGTAGATGGGCAATGGTCCCTGCCATATCGGCCAGACCTGCTGTCTCAAGGTACTATATTGCACCCAGCTTTACTAAAGTCGCTAAATTTGACAGCGTGGCTATTGAAATTCAGATTTCGTGGAGTACATCACGGGACTCAGAGGTACCATCCCTCTTTCTAGAATTTCATTGCTTGCTACAAAAACTGAAGTACTTCCTGTGTAGGGGGGGCTATGTAGGGGAGGACCTCCTCTCTGATTGGTCAGCCAGTGTCCGTTCACCTATTGGTGGCATATAATCCACATAGTCATGAATAGCCTGCTCAGTGTCCCGTGATGTACTCAAGAAATAGACTTACAGGTAAGTAGGTAGACAAAAACCAGTTTTGGGCATGGGGTTTCTCTTAAAATCCGTATCACACCTGTGGGTCTGGTATGGATTTTAGGGGGGGGGGGGACGTTTTTAAAAATTTAATGTTTGATAACATTCTGCTGTCAGAGGGAAATCCCGCTAACAGCAGATGAGTCATGGATCGCCCACTCCTTAAACAGTCAGCTATTCTTCACAATGAATTCGGAACAACCATTGTGTTATTGAACACATTTAAAAATTTAAATAATCTGAATGCATCTAATGAATGCTTTCTTTTTTGGTTATAACTTTTTTCGGATTCGTTGCCATTCATTTTTATGTCCATTTGGAAATTCGGATACATGTGAATATTCAATAACAAAATTTTCATCTGAAAAACAAATCAAAACAAAAAGGAATTGCACATGTCTAATCCCCACCCATTTGTAAAGAAAGCTAATGACAGCTCCAGAGTGTTATCATGTGTGGAAGTAATGGACGGGTAGGTGTATCAACAAGTCTTCTCTTTCAATGTTCATTGAAAGAATATTTTAAAAAAAGGATTTGTAAAAAAACTTGTGTGTGTTTATTTACAACTGAATATTTTGTAAATGAATAGGGGAACTATGCCTCTTACTCATTCACATCAGAAAGGAGGGCAGATATCTGGGCACCGCCTTGGTTCCTAAAACCACTGGGCCAAGGCTGTGGGGAAGAGGTTTTTGTCTACATCAACATGCCCCCTTCTCCCATGTTAAGGGCATGTGGCCTAGTATGGTGCACACTCTTTTCCCCCTCCTCCCCCTTGATTGGCCAAGTGCATGCTCAGGTAAGGCTCTGGTATCGATTTTGGGTTGACATTTTTTCTTGATTTCTGTGTGGGGACCCCCCTTAAAATTCATTCAAATTCAAAGACCTGAATGATATGGTATGGAATATTGAGGAAACCACATGTTGTTTTGTTTTTTTTTTTTTTGTTTTTTTGTGGGATCCCTCATTAACATCTATACCATCTAGAATATGTGTCTGGACCAAAGAGTCTGGTATAGATTTTTGGGGTGACCACATGTCATTTTTGTTTTTCGCATGGGGTCCCCCTTTAATATCCATATCAGATTCCAAAGGCCTAAAAATGAATTGTGTGGTCTATATTATATATATATACTGTATGTATATATATATATATATATATATATATATACAGTTGCAAGAAAAAGTATGTGAACCCCTTGGGATTACGTGGAGTTTTGCATGAATTGGGCATAAAATGTGCTCTGAACGTCATCTAAGTCACAACAATAGAAGAACACAGTCTGCTGAACATAATACTACACAAACATTAGATGTTGCCATGGTTTAATTGCACATAACATGTAAACATTCACAGTGCAGGGAGGAAAAAGTATGTGAATCTTTGGACTTAATAACTGGTTGACCCTCCTTTGGCAGCAATAACCTCAACCAAACATTTCCTGTAGTTGCAGATCAGACCTGCACAACGATCTGGAGTCATTTTGGACCACTCCTCTTCACAAATCTGTTTCAGTGTAGCAATATTCTTGGGATGTCTGGTGTGAATCGCTCTCTTAAGGTCATGCCACAGCATTTCAATCGAGTTGAGGTCAGGACTCTGACTGGGCCACTCCAGAAGGCGTATTCTGTGCTGTTGCAGCCATTGTTTTGTTGAATTACTTGTATGCTTTGGGTCATTGTCCTGTTGCATCACCCATCCTCTGCGGAGCTTCAGTTGGCGGACAGATGGTCGTACGTTTTCCTGCAAAATGTCTTGCTAAACTCTGGAATTCATTTTCCCATCAATGACAACAATCCGTCCAGGCCCTGAGGCAGCAAAGCAGCCCCAAACCATGATGCTCCCTCCGCCATGTTTCACAGTGGGGATGAGGTTTTGATGTTGGTGTGCTGTGCCTTTTTTTCTCCACACATAGTGTTGTGTGTTCTTCCCAAACAACTCAATCTTGGTTTCATCTGTCCACAGTATATTTTGCCAGTAGTGCTGTGGAACATCCAGGTGCTCTTTTGCAAACTTCAAACGTGCTGCAATATTCTTTTTGGACAGCAATGGCTTCCTCCGTGGTGTCCTCCCATGTACTCCATTCTTGTTTAATGTTTTCCTTATTGTAGATGTGTCAACAAAAATGTTAGCATGTGCCAGAGATTTCTGTAGGTCTTTAGCTGACACTCTGGGATTCTTCTTTACCTCATGCAGCATTCTGCGCTGTGCTCTTGCAGTCATTTTTACAGGACGACCGCCGCCTAGGGAGAGTAGCAACAGTGCTAAACTTTCTCCATTTGTAGACAGTCTGTCTTACCGTGGACACATGAACATCAAGGCTTTTGGAGATACTTTTGTTACCCTTTCCAGCTTCATGCAAATCAACAATTCTTGATCGTAGGTCTTCTGAGAGCTCTTTTCTTCGAGGCATGGTTCACATCAGACAGTGCTTCTTGAAACCAGTAAACCCAAAACAGGTGTGTGTTTTTTAAGGGCAGGACAGCTGTCAGCAACACATCCAATATCATCACACTGATTGGAGTCAAGGTTGGCTCACTCCTGGCTCCAATTAGCTCTGGGAGAAGTCATTAAGCTAGGGCCTCACATACTTTTTCCTCCCTACACTGTGAATGTTTACATGTTATGTGCAATTAAACCATGGCAACATCTAATGTTTGTGTAGTATTATGTTCAGCAGACTGTGTTCTTCTATTGTTGTGACTTAGATGACGTTCAGAGCACATTTTATGCCCAATTCATGCAAAACTCCATGTAATCCCAAGGGGTTCACATACTTTTTCTTGCAACTGTGTATATATATATATATATATATATATATACATATATAATTATTTATTTTTGTTTGTTTTGTTTTGTTTGCCCTGTCCCCCTGTCTAAAATTCATACCAGGTATGAAGGTTTATTAATTCTGTAAATAATGCAATGGGGACCAGCCACATACATACAAGACCCTCATCTTCCTTGATGAGGGTCTGGTATCTATGTTTGGGGTCCACATTGTATTAGTTACAAAAAGAGGAAGCTGAGAGTAAATGTGAATTAAAAGCCTTTTAACCACTTGCCTACCTGGCATTTATACCCCCTTCCTGCCCAGGCCAATTTTCAACTTTCACCTTGAATGACAATTGCGCAGTCATGCAACACTGTACCCATATGACATTTTTAGCATTTTTTGAGACAGAGAGAGATTTTTTTTTATTTTTGCTAAACAAACCAAAAACAACTGAAAATTTTGAAAAAAAAAGTTTTTTTTTCTTAGTTTTTGTTATACAATTTTGTAAATAAGTGATTTTTCTCCTTCACTGATGTACACTAATGAGGCTGCAGTGATGGGCACTGATAGGCTGCACTGATTGGCACTGATAGGTGGCACTAATGGGCACTGATGAGGAGGCACTGGTAGGTGGCACTGATGGGCATTGACTGGCATCACTGATGGGCACTGAAAGGCAGCACTTATATATGGCACTGATAGATGGCACTGATAGGTGGCACTGATAGGGGTCACTGACTGGCACTAATAGGCTGTACTGACTGGCACTGTTAGGGTGCACTGATAGGCAGCACTGACAGGCACTGATAGGTGGCACTGATGCACACTGATAGGTGGCACTGACTGGCACTGACTGGCACTGATAGGCAGCACTGACTGGCATTGATAGGTGGCATTGATTGGCAGCACTGATAGGTGGCACTGACTGGCATTGATAGGTGACACTGAAAGGCAGCTCAGATGGGCACTGATATGTGGCATTGATGTGGCACTGATGGGCACTGGCAGGTGGTGTTGATGGGCACTAACAGCTGACATTGATGGACACTGACAGGTGGCACTACTGCAGCTACACTGATCATCAGGGCACACTGATCATCAGTGCCCTGATGATCAGTGTACATGTCCCCTCTGGGGAATGCCGATTACCGGCTCTCCTCTCCTCATGAGCTGTCAGCGTGACAGCTCGTAAGGAGAGAAATGCAGATAAGCGGCATTTCCCTATTTGCATGCGATCAACTGTGATTGGACACATGACAGAATTAGCTCCAGACTTTTTGATATGTTTGGCCGCACCTCCATGAGCCTAAGGTAAATTCAAGTGTGTTTGGCTCATCCCTATCTGTTAACAACAATCTGTAAGCAATCCTGTGAAGACATCTAACATTATCTAATGCATCCCTATCATCATTTCTTTTTTCATATGGGCTCATGATTGTTGATTTCTCATCTCAAATAGATTTAGATTTTTAGCTGCTTTCTTCTGGTTTCTTTTGATGATAACAAACATACACACAACTTTCAAAAAAAAAAAAAAAAAAAAAGAAATAGAAGAAGAGTCACATAAGTCCACAGAACATACAAGGAGGCCTAAAGAAGGAAATACCCAATCAGGATTAGAGAAGCTTGACCTAGATTACCCCGAGGACAGTTTTATAGCTGCCAGTATTGTCAGCCAATGAGACTAAGAATCAAGATGCTAATCATAGAGCCAAATGTTCTTCTGATTATGATACATTGCACAGCTTGGCATCTGGATGCAGCTTCCAAGCAGTGAATATACAAGACTCCGTGCATTTTTATTCTGTTTATCTGAAACAACTAATACATAAGGGAGTGAGAACATTCAGTTTGCAGGAAGCTATTCCAGATATGTAAAGTAAGTCTTCATGTAAAAATCAGTAAACTTATTATCGCTTAATTTTTAAAATAGTAGTAATCTCCATATATCACAATCAGAGCTAAAATGGTTAGCATGTTTTTTTTTTTTTTCTGTGATGGATGATTGTATGTAATGTTTGACTAACTTGTCTATTTAATTTACAAAATTGCTTTTCTAAGCAGGCATAATACACATATAATGTTGCCTTGAGAATGTTTTTAAAGAATATGTAAACTCAACATTTCATATTCCTGATATTTGCCTGTTGTACCATGTACTTGTATGAAAAGATATCCTGTTCTCTTTGTATTTCTTCCCTTGTGTAAAATCCCTGCTATTTCTGCCAGTCCCTCTGCTTTCCTATTAAGTACTGTTCATGCTCAGTTCTCTAGCTCAGGCTTTGTCAACCAGGGTGAAATGCACCCAAGGGTGCCTTCAGGATTCTTCAGGGGTACCTTGGCAAAATGGTTAAAATTTGCCCAAAACTGTATACAAGCCAGTGGGTGAATCAAGCCTGCCTCTTAGTTACAGAAAGCCACTGGTTTTCATTGTGCACCATTACAACTTTCTAGATGCCAAGGTCCTAACAACCAATGATACCATCAATTGGTAAAGAGGACATTGGGCATCTGCACAGCATCCTTCTTTACCCCTCCCCATCATCGCATTAGCTGTGTGCGGGAGAAAACTGCAGAAGATAAACATTGGAACACTAGTCAGTAACAACAGTGTGCAAAGGTATATCTGCTTTGGATATATAAATCGCCTCTGATGGGTGACCTACATGTGTGGCTGTTGGTGCATAATGTAAAACCATTAGCTTATCACCTATATTGAGGAAAGCCTTTGAAGCTATTCATGAATCACATCCCTCTTCCTCACAACTTCTCCATGCCCAAATAACGGCCCCCTCTATTTGTAGCAATTACAGACCTATCGCTCTGCTTAACGTGGATCTAACAATCTTTGATAAAATCATTGCTAACCATTTATCCCCGCTCTTACCTGATTTCATTCAAATACCATGTTGGTTTCGTTACTGCCAGAGAAGCGAAGGACAACACCACTAAGACCCTGCACCTTATCTTTTATGCTCAACACCACAATACATCACAATATGTTTACTCGCATGTGATGCCAAAAAGGCATTTGACAGGGTCAGCTGGCCTTTTCTTCACCACTCGTTAGTTCAATTGGGCATAGGACCTGAAATGCTCGCCCAAATTATGTCTCTTTATTCCTCGCCCTCGGCTACAGTTTTTTGACGAAGGGGACCCAAATTGACTAGTTTTCCATTGCAAATGGTACCAGACAGGGATGCACTCTTTCCCCCTTTTATTTGCAATAGTCATAGAACATTTAGCTCACACAATTCATAATAACAACTCTATAAAAGGTATCCACACACAATCCTTTCACTGTAAATTAATGTACAAATATAGTGGCTTGCACATATAGGCAGACAAACAAATGTAGTAAAAAAGTTGCAGCATTAATTAGAATATAAAGTCCCATACTCAATAAGATAGATGACAGCAAAGTCCATGTGGGTTGACCGACCTGTGGGGCGGTCAACACTTTTGGTAAGAGGCCAATTTTATTTGGGTGTATGGTGATGGTCTCCTCTCTGGATTGGAACCCCTTTCCTATGCATGGCTCCTAATTCCTGTATATGGGAAACCCACATGGACTTTGCTGTCATCTATCTTATTGTGGGACTTTATGTTCTAATTAGTGGTGCAACTTTTTACTACATTTGAATATCTCCTTACCCAAGTCTGTCCTTTCCTTTCTTAAAAGTAATTTTTCTTTCAAATGACAAGCTAAGTCTACCACATACTTAGGTACAGAGATTGCAATGCACACCAAGGGGTTATATTCCCTTAACTACAGCCCTTTGCTTTCTAAAATTAAAGCAACTTTAGAATCTAAGCATCATTTAAAAACTTCCTGATTTGGGCGAATAAGTGTTTTAAAATTGGACATATTACCAAAATTATTATATTTATTCCAAACAATACTGTTTAAACTCCCAGTAGCTTTCTTCAAGACTCTGCGTTCTCTTGCCATTCGGTTCATCTGGCAACATTATCCATCCAGACTGAAACATAAGTGGGCCTTCCAGACTTCCTAGTCCTCTAGGTCGAGGGATCTGAGAGATTACCCCTGAGGACTGGCAAATGGCTTTTTTGTTTACCCACAAGTGTTCCATTTCTGCCTATGCTCAAGAGAAACATTTTAAATTGATCTCTAGATGGTATTGAGATCCAGTATCTATTCACAGGATTTCCCCTTCTTCAACCGATATTTGCTGGCGCTGTCACGATGAAAGAAAGACATACCTTCATATCTGGTGGGATTGTGATCAAATCCATCCATTCTGGACTCAGGTATATCAGATATTTATTGAGATGTATGATGAGTCTCTTGGCTTCTCTCCCAAAATAGCTTTACTGTCTATTCTACCGGGCACTATTAAATCCCAAAAGTCTTGCCTACTATTTCTTCTATCAGCTGCGAGAGAGCTTATCTCTAAATTCTGGAAAACCACGACCACCCGGAGGAAAAGCAGGTGAAGGAATCAGACAATTGGGAAAAACATAAGAAATTATGGTATATATGGTTACATTACTCTTCCTCAGATAAGCTCCATAATCAACTCCCTTACCTACAAAGTCTGAGTTGATTTAATTGCTTTAACAGTTTACTCCCCAGTCTACCCCTTCTTTACTTTTTCATTTTGGTCTAATTTACAGTCCCCCTCATAAGGAGATTTATCGACCGTTGGTATTTCTTTCCCTCATCTTCATACTTAGGAGTCCTTATGCCCAGCATTGTCCTTATCTCTAACCCCATCCTCCCCCTTCCCTTCTTTCTCTTGACTAATAGCTGGAAGCTTTTCACTGCTTCAGTCCTCTTGAATCTGTATTGTTATTCATACTGTTCATGTCTAAGTATAAGAGCAGTTGTGTGTGTTGTGTTGTAATAGACGAATGACACTTCTTGTTTTTTTAAATTATTCTCACTGTTTAATCCCCCTCCTCCCTTCCCCCTTTTTATTTTTCTGTACCCAAATTTCTATGTTTCAATAAAAATATATTCAATGTAAAACCATTAGCTTATTTTTCACCATTTTAGAATTGGGTACCTCGATATTGTGTATAAATGTAAAGGGTGCCTTAAATGAAAAAAGGTTAAGACTTGTCCTGACATCCCCCCCACTCCCTACTCAGCTTTTTGCTGAGAAGATCAGTGTACTACTGTTTCTCCTCCCCCAGCTCTTATGCAGCTGAGAAGAGAAGGAATTCAATCACTTATAAAACAGGGGAAAAAGGTATTTATAATATTTATTTTATATGTATACACAAATGTTTTGCCTTTCATTTCTATTTTAAACTGAATAGGTTGTTTTACAAGGTGAAGGCTTACAATTACTTTAAGCACGCTGTTTTTTTTTTTTCTCGTAACAAAAAATGTATTATTATAACTGAAAAGCATACGGATAAAGAGTGACTGATACAAGCATTTTCAAGTAATGCATGCATACCTGTAGTGTCATTCAAGTGTGAAATACATTAGAGAAACACTGATCTGCTAGGTAATTGGAATAACCTGCACCAGCAATTGTACAAAATCTACAGTCTGAACATTGGTACCACAGGGCAGAAATCATTGGTACTGCAAAAAAATTATTTGAAGAATAGGCAATTATTGGACCTTGTGTTGTTGTCTAAGAAAAATCAAACCATTACAATATATCATCAGCACTTTGGATTTTTTGAAGAAGGACAATGGAGAAAGTGCAGTAATTCTTTCAGCCAATCTGGGATCCTTTGACAAAAACTGATAAAAGGCAAAATGTGGTTAATTGCTCTGGAGTATTGAAAATATTTTTGCATTTCACTCTTATTTATAGGCAACATCTGTTATTGTAATTTCTTCGAGATTCTACATTACAGTTAAATTCTCTTTGTGTGACATGAAAATGAGTGCAGTATTTCCTAGAGTGGAAAAAAAACAATAAGCTTGTTGCTATCACCTGTAAAGTAGGATGAAGGGGTGGATCCCCCATACCCCCTTCATAATATTCAATAACCACACAGCATAGGGCTAATTTTTACCTCTTTGCTCAGAGGTGGTTTTGTTTATTATGGCCAAAGGCTTTGGTAATCTTTTATATTATAAAAAAATAAATATAAATAACACTAATTATAAATGAAGTACTGTGTTTTATTTGATAGAAAACACATATCCTACAAAAATACTTCTTCAGTTCTGTATAGGGTGGCCACACTGTATGCAGTTTTGTTTAGACCTGGTCCTGTAGGGATTCTCTAGCAGGCGACAGTGAATGCCTAGCAGGTTTAG